GGGGGGGGGGGGTACATTAAATGGAATGGCCCACTGTGAATCTTTCAATTAATTAATGGTCAAATATGACCCCTGCAGTCATATATACTTCATGAAAATTATTCTTATTCCATACAAGCCTCTATACTGACGCTACAAACATGTTCAAAGTCCTACTTTAAATATTGCCACATATTCTTACTGAATATTGATCAAATGTCAAGCATAGACCAAATTACAAGGCAAGCATTCTTCAAAGTTTAAAAAAAATCCATTCATCCCAAATGGAATCAATTCAGCTGTGAGCTGGCCATGGGGACCAGCCGACCAGACATACAATACTTTGTTGTGAAATACAAACAAATATATCGCATCCAGCCGTCTCAAACATTTTTCTTTTCATTTAAAGTTTTATAGATATAATTTATTTCCCGTACGATTATGGGATTATTGAAGGACTATAAATATTTTTTTGACCGGCTTTTTACATCGAACTATATAACCCTTGCATCAAATATCACGGAATATCACACATATAATTTCGTAATTATTACCCTACAAATATGAAAAGATACGATGGACTTTCATTGAAAGTATAAAACCACTATAAGAGATACAAATATTAAACCATATAACACAGCTAGAAAGTACAAATATATCCTGCGCGATTTTCACGAATTTTACTCAACCTTACTTTGACTTGTTCCGGTGTCCAAGCGTCCAAATTCACTGACTTTACTTTCGAAATGTGTACACCCAAATTCCTGTGGATTCCAGCACAAGTTATACACACGAATATACCAAGATTCCAAGAAGCCCATCTCGGTCCTAAGGGAATAAAAATAGTAAATGGCGACCAGGAAATACTGATATTTTCAAATTCAAATTTGACACGCACACACAGACCTTTTGCCCGACAATCCGCGCAATACTTATTCTGATCTTCGCGAAGCAACTCCATGAGTATACTGGTGTGCCTGTCATGTTGTTTTTTGTTCTTTTCTCTTTCTGTTCTCGTCGACATTGTCGTGTGATTTCGTATGAAAAGTTGTAAAATTTCAAAGCAAAATCGGCCAAGTCGTCCGGCCTTTTTGGCGTCCGATCACACACCGGAAGTGACGATAGGGAAGGCAAACGCTGAGCATGCTGGGAAACATTGGGAAGTGATTATAAATTCAAAATGGCGCTGTGAACGCTGATCTCAAACGAATCACTGGATTGCATTCTAATTGCAAGATTTCAGCATTAGCGACGCCATCTTGAATCGTGATGCATTGTGGTCTAGCTAGAAATAGTTCAAAATGGCGACAAAGCACTGATCTCATTTACTGGATGGTACTTTCAATCTTAATTAAATGTTTTTGGACTGAAAATTTGAATCTTCAACGAAAATATGGACTTTTTACTAATTTTAGTGTAATAACTGCAATAGAGCTTTTTCCATTGCCTTTTCCGATTTAAAAGGCAGCACTTGCCTTGCGATAGTAACTTCTAGTTCTAGTTGACTCGATCCACGTCGATCCAAGAAGCCGGCGAACGGCTAAGCGTAGTACTAGTAGAGATTTCTTCACCTCATGAGATGAGCAGGTCACAACAATGTACTTTTGTTTTTAATTTTACAGCAGTTTCAGGTCGTCCACTGATGGCTTAGTGGTAGGTCGTTTGGCCTGTCTCGATAAACGTTTGGGTTCAAATCCAGTTGAACTCATGTTTTGTAGCGGACTAACAATATTTTTTCTTATAAGTAATAGCATGGCTTGAGGGAGATTAGTGATTAAATGGCCCCGTAACCCGAGGCAGGTTTGCGGAATTCCCGAGGGCGAAGCCCGAGGGAATTCCGCAAACCTGCCGAGGGTAAGGGGTCATTTAATCACTAAT